AAAAAAAAAAAAAAAAAAAAAAGAGATCACATACGTTTGCAGGAAGCTCAGCCATATGGCTCTTAACTTCCAAGGTGAATAATCTCAGGGGTGACTGACTTCTTGCTTTGAAATCTGTAAGTTTCTTTCAGCATTTCTCCTTCTGACACCTCCATCTCTCATGGTATTTCATCGTTATTTACCAGAAACTGTGGGTTTGTAATAGGGAGCTATATAAGGAGTGCCAAGCTAAGTGACTTATTAAATATAAGGAGATGTTTTCTGCACACATGGTGGTCAGGTTTGTCTGAAGTCTGCTGAGAAGGTTGTGGTGTGTATGTGTGGCTTGAAGTAATGATCACTGAAAAAGAAGAGTACTTTTTAATATCCTAAAATGTTTCTGCAGTGTACAACCAGCCCAAGCCAATCTTCACATACTCTTGGGCACATCACTGAGATAACAGGGTGGAATTTAAAACTAACATTATAAACATACTTGCAAAAATGATCTTATTTCTCTCGCTTTGACTGTGAACTCATCCTAACTGCTGTGGATGTGCTTGCCAACATAGCTAATACTTCAAATGAACAATTTGCACTAAACAATTGCATGATTTACCCAGCATAATTTTCTGCTCTTGACTGGCTGGCTGAAAGTTTTGCAGTAGGAGAAGCATGCTCAGCAAATGCTGCTGTTAATGCACAAGTCTCCCTGCTTGCAAATGAACTTGAGCATTCATGGACAAAAAACACAGCAAACAAAGCCACATTTGCCACTAGTAAACTCAAAGTGGTAAAAACAGGGTGGAACTGAAGAGCTCGTGGAAAGCTGCAAGCAGATTCAGTTTTTAGCCAGCTTTAACTTCAGCACTTTCTCAATTTGTTGCCCTGTCAGAGCCAGGTCTGTAAGCTTAGGCTACTGCATGAAGACCCCTACCTCCCCCTCTTCTCTTCCATGGGATTTGGATTTATCTCTACAGTGAAAACATTTGTTCAATGAGATGGAGGGCCTGCCCTGTATTTTTGCTTGATCATCAGATGACTTGTATTGATATAAGGTGCACCTGTGCATTAACCTATAATCATGTGCATTAGCAGGAGGCACCAGTATAAATTAATAGGAGCAAAGCAAGCTATTGCATGTAAAGGAGGCAGGAAGGTGCTTGATATTATCTGTACCGCCTCCATCCTAATAGTTCTCAATAGTTCTCCTTCCCTTTTTTTCTGATCTTACTGTGGGTGAATTTTGATAGACTCTCTTCAGCCTCTGAATGACTTCTATGGGGTGGGGAGTGGGGAATCTGTGCTCCCTCCACAAGTGTTGGCCATCATTTTTGCAACCTTAATAGGCAACCAGCCCAGTATTTAAACCCAAAGCACTTGTGCTCTGGACAGGAGGCTAAATACAGTAGGGCAATACAACCCCCTGACTTTGCAATGTAAAGACCATAAGCCAACGGAAGCAGGGACTGATCCATGGGCTTATCCAGGATTTTGAAAATAGGGGTGGAGACTGTGTGGCACAGTCTCACATACAACAGGATGTGGTCCTCTCCAGTTAAAGAGGAACTAGAAGCTTTATGAATAGACTAAGGCCATATTTTCAGTATAAGATCAGAGCAAAACCAAATATGAGGACTGGCACACGCACTAATTGCTAGGTTATGGAGAAAGGTTAGAAGAAATGCAACAGACTGGGCAACCCAGAGGCAAAAGCTTATAGTTGGATCACAGAATAAGAGAAAATTAGGGCTGGAAGGGGCCTCCGGAGATCATCCAGTGGTTCTCAACCTTTTTTGTACTAGGACCTGTTTGTAAACATCAGTGGCCAGTTCTCCCCACAGTGCCCCTTACTTCTGACCTGCTGCCCCCAGTGTGTGGCATGGGGGGTAGGTGTGTGGGATACAGGGGGCCCTCCAAGTAACCTAAAACTCTGCCAGCCTGCAAGGGAAAAGCCCCAGTTTCCCACATTTTGCTTCTTTAAAGGAGAATCCATTTTAAAAGTGTTTTGATCCATTTGTCAAGTTTGTTCACAACGCTTTCAGATATTCTTGCAACCCACTTTGGGTTGGGACACACAGGCTGAGAAACACTGGTCTAGTCCAACCCCCTGCTCAAAGCAGCACCATCCCCAACTAGACCATCCTAGCCAAGGCTTTGTTCAGCTGGGTCTTAAAAAACCTCCAAGGATGGAGCACTCACCACCTCTCTGGGCAGAATGTGCCAGTGCTTTGCCACCCGCCTGAATGTATGGCTCTTACTCAGGTTCACAAAACCCCCCAAACCCTGAGCCTTCTCCATGCTCTTGACAGCGCCTCCTGCACCTCCCTGGCAGGAGCCTACCGCTGAGCGCAGCCCCAGCCTGAGGGCAGGCAGGAGGTGTTGTGGGGAGGTCAGAGCAGGCCTTGAGGGGCAGCGCTTGCGACCATGAGGGCAGAGGGGCCCTGACACGTTGGTGCATGTGCCAGTCCTCGTATGTGGTTTTGCTCTGATCTTACACTGGAAATATGCCCTTAGTCTATTCATAAAGCTCCTCGTTTCTCTTTTCAACTGGAGAGAAACCCGTCCTGTTAGACGCGAGGCTGTGCCGCACACCACCCCCTCCGCCACGTTTCCAAGTCCTGGAGCAGCCCGTGCTTGCGGGGGCCCTTCCGCCGGCCGCTTGCGGCCTCACAAGCGCTTAGCGGTTAGGCTGGGCGGGCGGCCCGGCAAGGTGGGCAGAGGCGGGCGGGAAGCCGAGGGCCCCCTCAGGCGGCTCGGAGCCCGCCGCCACGCGGGGAAGTGCCCGGCGCTGCTGCCCCGCGGGCCGGGAGGACGGAGGGAGGAAGGCGGCCCTAGCAGCCCCGATCCCGCCCCGGGCCGCGCTGTTTGCGGAAGCGGCGGCGCTGCTCCGTGGCCGGGCGGCGGGAGCGGGTAAGCGGGGCCGCCCCCAGACAGACACTCCTTTCCCTCTCGGTTGTGCCCGGCACGCTGCGGGGTGGGGCTGAGAGCCCAGCTAAACACGGCGGAGGAGGACGGGCACTGCCTGGGCACCCGCTTACTGGGTCTCGCTGAAAGAGCGGCTGCAGTGTCAGACCCGGGAGGTAACCCGGGAATTGGGTGAGAGGTGAGGAGGGGCCTAGCGGTGGGGTGGGGTGGAGCTGGACAGGTTTTCCTGCGGGAGGCGTGGAGGGACCTGCTGCACACCCGCGTGCACTGGGAAGCCGAGGTGGTATTGCTCCCCTGCCTAGCTAGCGTGGAGGGAAGAGCAGCTTCCCAGCGCCAGACCCCGAGGTCACCTGCCCAACAACTGTCTTGCATTCATTCACACGCTTGTCTTGTTGGCATTCGAGACGGTTGTCTTGCCCCTCTGCCTGGTTGAGAGCGAAGCAGGCAGCGGATGCAAGGCGTTGAGATGATCTGCTGAACAACGTCTTGCATTGGGAAGCTGAGCTTTCCTTGGACCTGCTACCTAGTCGGGATAGGGTTAGACAGGCTTTCACATGTGAGGCACTGAGGTGACCTGTTGAAGTGTGGCTGTCTTGCATTTGACTCGAGCGCAGCTAGGGAGTGGGTCAGAGAAAAGCTCGGCTTTCCAATGCAAGACGTTCTTCAACGGGTCACCTCCATGCCTTGCATTCATGGTCTTGATCCACTGCCTAGTTCAGACAGTTAGACAAGCTTTCAAAGGTGACCTGCTAAAGTATGTCTTGCATTGGGAAGCTGAGCTTTTCGTGAACCCACTGAGTGTTGGGATGGAGTTGAGGCGAGCTTTCCGAGGCGAGACATGCTTCTGTGGGGCACCTCCATGTCTTGCCTTTGGAAGCTTGTCCTAACTCTCTCCCAGCTATGCGGTGGGTCAAGACAAACTTTTGAATGCAAGGGACGGAGGTGACCTGCTGAAGAATGTCTTGCATGTGAAAGCTTGTGACTCTATCCCAAAGAGTTGAGGCAAGCATATGAATCCAAGACTTTCTCCAGCAGGTCACCTCAATGCCTTACTTTTGAAAGCTTGTCTTGACCGTGTCCCAACTAGGCAGTGAGTGCAATAAAAGCTCAGCTTCCCAATGCAAGATGTTCATCAACAGGTCCTCTCAATGTATTGCATTCAGAAGCTTGTCTCGACTGTATCCCAACTAGGTAGTGGGTCCAGTAAAGCTGTCATCTTAAGAAATCCTTGCCTCTCACAATTCCTAGACCCTCATGGGTACAACATCGCTCTAACATTATAACATCTCTTCCAGCAAGAGAAAACAAGCAGAGGCAAGTTTATTAAAAAAACAAAACCAAAAACCCTCAGCTCCACACATTTGAAAACTTGTCTAACTGTCCCAACTATGCTGTGGGTCCAGTGAAAGGTATCGCCTAAGGGCCATGTTATGTGTTTAAATTAAAGCTGGATAGCGACGAGCTATTGAGTTGTTGCACATTTTCAAGCACTAACTTTATAGCTGGTTAGCTCTCTTTATAGCTGAATAGTGATTTTTTTATGGTATGAAAGTTACTTTGCACCTGTGGCTGGTCTAAATTTATTGCATGATTAACTAGTTAATTGTATAACTTACATAAGCGTGTAGGAGAGGTCCTAAGAAATCCTTGCCTCTTGCATGGCATTGTGGGCTGATCATTGTGTTCAGTATAGGGTCAGACATCAGTGAACCCAACTTGGTTTCATCTACAAAAGTGATTCATCTTGTGATTCAAAACAGACTTGAGCAGAAAAACTTAATTCATCAAGCAGCTTTGACTCTGCAGACTTTTCTTTAGTCTGCAAGGTAACGCTGCTTCTCTCTTCTTTCCTCTGGGTCCATTGGGCTTTTCATTTTGGTTTTGTTGAGTGTCAAATGGTAACTACATGGAGGAGCTCAGTACACCTTGTTGGCCATTTTCCCCTCCATTTGGCTCTAACATTTTTTTTTTCTTGTGGAGTTACTCTCCACTGCCCTGTAAGGTTGGGATGGGGGGAGATTCTGAATCTTTGTTTTTACACAAAGACAACTAGTTAAATGTCAGTTACAAACCTAGGCATGAAGCATCCATATCATAGCACGGACAGCTTAAAGCTGAGGCCCTGTTTCCTGGAGAAATTCCTCTTATGATGCTTTCTGGAGTTGGGCAGGGAACTTGTAGATGCTTTAGCTCCATGAACTCAGGAACTTCAATGAGCTTTTTGGAGTTTGTTAGTGTACAGTGTACAAGTGTACAGTGAGGCATGGGTCCCACTGGAGATGACACAATGCAGTGTGCTGGTGCAATAAAGGAGGAAAAAGGTGGGTCTGCTGCCTAAATACAGGCTTCAGTGTTTTTTCTGTTGGACCATAAGGTTAGGAGGCATAGCTGGGCAGCTCCATGCCCTGAGCAGCCTTGAAAAACCCAGGGCAGTGCCAGCTGCCATGGTGCCACTGCAGTTATGGCTATCTGAGCACTTTTCCCTTCTCCCCCTCTCTTCCCATTGCCCCCTTCCTAGCCCCCCACAGAGGCTATGCCCAGGGCTGCTCCCCTGGTTCCCCACTTTCTCCTTCCTACTTTAGACTATTGCTCTTGCAGCAAAAAATGGTGAGGATGATCTGAGTGTGGAATCTGGGCATGCTTCTTGTGAAGGGCTCGCACCATCTCCCCCTGACATGAAGGCTGGATGATGGGTCTTGAGGTATCCTGCTCACTGCCTCCCCTTAGGGAGGTACAAGTAAACAACAGAACTAGTGCCACCCTGCATGACTGACTTGGTTATGAGTGATCCAAATTTTACTTGCAGGTAGGAGTTAGGAGATCTCTGCACACACCTGTGTGGAGAGAATCTGGTTGAAACTCACCTGGAGATTGAGATTGAGACTGCAGGCACAGATCTGTCCTGCTTTCCCATTCTCCCCACTTCAGAAACACCAATTCCAGGCCAAATCTGCTTTGGTCTGCCCAGAAAATAGAAGACTTCCCACAGGGACAAATGTTTGATCACATTTCCAGGTAGCCCTGACAAAATCATAATTCTATGATATACAGAAAATTAGGGTTGGAAGGGACCTCAGGAGGTCATCTAGTCCAACCACCTGCTCAAAGCAGGACCATCTCCACCCCTGCCAAGGCTTTATCTAGGCTGGTCTTACAAACCTCCAAGGATGGACTTTCTGGGTAACCTATTCCAGTGCTTTACTAGCCTCCTAGTGAGAGTTTTTTCTGGTATCTAACCTAAACTTCCCTTGCTGCAACTTGAGACCACTGCTCCTTGTTGTCATCAGCCACCACTGAAAACAATCCAGCTCCATCCTTTTTAGAACCACCCTTCAGGTAGTTAAAGGCTGCTATTAAATCCCTCCTCAGTCTTCTCTTCTTCAGACTAATAAACCCAGTTCTCAGCCTCTACTCAGAAGTCACACACCCCAGCCCCCTAACCATTTTTGTTGCCCCTTGCTTGACTCCCCAATTTGTTCATATCCTTTCTGTAGTGGAGGCGCGGGGGTCCAAAACTGGGCACAGGACTCCAGATTTTGCCTCACTAGTGCTGAATAGAAGGAAATAAACACTTCCCTCACTGCTGGCAATACTTTTACTAATGCAGTCAAGTATGCCATTAGCCTTCTTTGCAATGAGGGCACGCTGTTGGCACATATTCAGTGTATTGTCCACTGTAACCCCCAGATCCTTTTCTGCAGAATTGCTACTTAGCCAGTTGGTCCCCAGCCTGTACTGGTGCATGGGCTTGTTCCATCCTAAATGCGTGACCTCAGACTTGTCTTTACTGGCGTACTGTCCTGGTATCACCCAGAACAGTTCCTCTGGATGAGATTATGTATATATTCAGAGAGAAGAAAATTTCTGCTGCCTTGACAGCCTTGCACATATTTTTATAAGCTTGTTTCTCCTACATCAAGCCAATTCCAACCACTCCCTCTTACCCCTTCCCCTTTCCTATACATCAGCCTCTTCCTCTGTCCCCACCTCCCCCTTTAGCTGTTAGTCATTGCCTTCCAAATTATTCTCTATCCACCTTCCCTTCTGGCTTTGAAACTTGGCTCTCCTTATTCCTCTCCTCCTTGCAGCCACTCCCTCCTCATTCTCAGCAGTTCAAATGCCAGGATGACATCTTACTTGATCTTTCAGTTTCCTACTTCCTCCCTATCACTGCCCTAAGATTTAGCCTTGCATAAATCTTCCCTTTAACTAAAATAGGCTTTTGCTTGTACTTTTCAGTCCTAAACATTGCTCCCTTCTCATCTCTTAGTTGAGGTCTCTCTCTCCCGCTAACATCACTTCACCTTCATCACTGCTTGATAGCCCAGTGGTTCCACAATCACCAGTCCATGTCTATGTCCATATCCACTACTTCTCTGTCATTCACATCTCCTCTGCCCTGCTCTCTCTTCCTTAAACTGTATTATCAGTTCGGTCCTCTTCACTGCCAGGAACTTTTTCATGTCTGCATTCCATCATAAAACTTATCCATCATAAAGCTCACCAATACCCAGCTCCATCTCATCCCGTTCCCCACACCTTCCATTTGCTTCTTTCCTCCTTGCCAGCTGGGGGGGCGGGCATCTGGAGAGAGAACCTCATGTCTTTTCAGAGTTTCTCCATTGTAAATTCTCTGCTGCTTCCTGGTCTCAGTTGCATATTCATAACCTTTGACTCAAGAAATCAGTGCACAAGGCAGTTGCTAGTCTGACCATGCCATTTGCCCCAGTGGAGTCTGTACTGGCTCCTCACTGTCAGCCATGTCAAGCATGCGTTCTGGTTCTTATCTTCTAGGCCCCTTCACTCCTTAGCGCTTCCTTATTTGTCATCTTTATCATTTTGTCACGTTGCCTTGATTCTGTCTGCTCCAGAAATGTGATACCAGCTTTTATCACCCACTGGTCTATTTCTTCCCTTTGCATCCTTTTGTGCCATCTGCCTTTCATGGGACATCCTCCTCAAACACACTTCCCAGCCCTTCAAATCTATTTTCAGAATAGCCCAACTATTTGACCAGGATGCCTTGGAAAACTAGAAACTTATTTGAGTTAATTTATGTCAGTAGTGACTCTAGATATTTATCTGGCCAGCATAAGCACTTTTTCTCATTGTAGTTTTCTGTATCTTTCCTCCTTTGTTCCTTCAAATAGTGTGGTTACACCCTAGGTCTGTCAGCTG